TTTTTTTTTTTCCTTCAGAGCTGCCCTGCCCAGCAAGGAGGCAGCCTAGTCACTGTTTGCCTGTAGAGGCTTTGCTGAGCTGCTGTGGGCTCTGCCCAGCTGCCGAGTGAACTTCCCTGCAGTCCTGTTTATATGGGTGTAGTTAGAACTGCCTTGGCAAGGGTGGTCCGCCTCTTTTAAGGCGAAGTCTCTCTGCAGTGGGGGATTGCCTTGGCAACAGCGGGCTGCCTCAGCAATGGCGGGTTGCCTTGGCAACGGCGGGCTGCCTCGGTAATGGCGGACGCCCCTCCCCCACAAAGCTGGACCGTCCAGGGTTCAGCTGTGCTTACTGTGAAACTCTCAATCCAGAGAGTTCTGGTTGCTGTTCTTTTGTGGGGTTGGGATCAGCTGAGCCTGATCGCCTGGCTCCCTGCCTCAGAGCCTTTCTAAAGTTGGTGTTCCAGTCGCCTGTTGAGGAGGCGCCGGGGTCTGTCTGTTTTCCCCTGCGGCCACTCACTGCGCTGGCTTAAACAGCGGCACTGAGGTTTGTGGCGCTTTTTTTTTTGCCCTGGAATCTACTGTCCTGGCTCCCTGCTTAGTCCCCTTTTTAAATAGACGAATGGGCGGCTTCCCGTGGCTCCAATCGCCAGCCAAAAGGGCTCCCGGACCGGTGTATTTTGTACAGAGAACCGAGGCTCCGGGGCGCCGACAAAGCAGCCACGCGGGGCAAAGCAGCGGCGCCACCCGGCACAGCCGCGCTGGCCGAAACAGCCGCGCTGGCGACCTGTGGAGCTCCTCCGCCTGGGAATTTCCTAGTCTGTGGGCAATAAAAATGTGGCGTCCACTCACCCTCTGCACTTTCTCTGGGAGCTGCGATCCTGAGCTGTTCCTAAACAGCCATCTTGGATCAATCCCTTGAAGAACTTCCTTTAATATGTATTCATTGAGATGTTTTATCATTAACAATATTAATTTTGCAAATTTTTTAGTATTGACAGACGTGTATGAACCTTGTAGACCACTGATATGGTTAATTACATTGATTTTTAATTTTGAACCAATTTTGAAAATACAGAATAAATTCTCCTTCGTCGTGATTTATTAATTTTTGCACTTAACTAAATCTGATTTGTTAATATTCTGTTGAGGGTTTTTGTGTCTAGGTTGGTGAGAGTCTGCCTGCTTCTCTCTCTCTCTATCTCTCGCTCTCTCCCTCTCTTTCTGTCTCTCTTCCTTCTACTTGTTTTTATGTTCTTTTGTTATCAACTAAAACTGAAATCATAAAATGAATTGGGAAGTGTTTACTCCTTTTCTGTATTGTAGAAGTGATTGCTTAAAATTAGCGTTTAAAAAAATATTTGGTAGTAATGTCCAGTGAATTCATATGGGTCTGGAGATTAATTCCAGAGGAGTTTTTAAAATAAATATTTTCTTCAAATAAATATTTTTTAAATAAATACACCAACAATAACATTATCTCCTTCTTATTAGATGAGTTAAAGTAGTTTATGCTTTTTAAGGAACTGACTGATTTTTTTTACTTCTATCAATTGCCAAGGAGTTTTAAAAAATTCTAATCATATTTATATATTTTTTATTTTATTATGTTAATTTGTATTTCATTTTGATTTTTTCTTCATTATTGCATGTGTAGTTTAGGTTTATTTCTGGTGCATTGTTGCTTCTATAATTTCTGTAATGTTTATCTTTGTCTTGAATTCTATTTTATCTGAAATTAACTCTTGTTAGTTACCTCTAACTTGTAGGCCCAAAACTCTTTTTTTATTTAAAAAACATATTACAGGAAATTTATAAAAGTAGAAATAAAAATAGTGAAAATCAGCTTTATGAAAAATTTCAATAAAAAATTTAAACACAGAAAACTCAATATTTTACTCTAGTCTTTGAAGGATATGTAACTAAAGTGCTGTATGTGTTTTGAATACAATTCCTGCTGTCAAACATGGATCTAGAACATATTCTTTCTGTATTTGTGAGGTATACTTGAAGTACATCTTTAGTAACTTAGAGTGACTATACTTTGTGATTCTTTTTTTGTGTGTGCATTTACATCTTCAAAAGACAACTTTGATGGTCACAGTTTTACTGATATTATCCTCTTTGTACTATAATTAAAATATTTTCAGTTTATTTTAATAAACATCAAAAATAATTACTCAGCTTTTGAACTCCTGCACTGACTCCATTCAATCAACTCTGCATAAATATTTAACTTCACTATTTGTCCACTTGTGAACAATATCCAATGGATGTTCACATACATCTTCCATAGAAGACTGAATACTATTAAGTCTTATTTACAATGCAAGAAATCCCAGGTATTTATGAAAATATTGCTTGCTGAACGTTTTCCTATTAAATGATTATCAGATGAGAATTCTATGTATCCATTTTGTCTTTTGAAACATTCCATTGACTTGAAAATATTCTTGACTTGAAAAAAAATTAGGATATCATCATCTAAAGACCTGTAGTCTGACATTTCATTTATATGGTCAATTGCAGTATTTTTGTAGACTAAATGTTTGCATTTCTCAACATTTTTATCTTGTAACCTAATTTATAATTTGATGGTACTTGGAGGTGGAGCTCTTAGAGCCCCCTTGAATGGGATTAGTGTTCTAATGAAAGAAAGGATGAAAGAGAGATCCTTCATCCTTTCCACTATGTAAGGTTAGAACAAGAAGATGGTTATGATTCATGAAATAGGCCCACAGAATAATTCTGCCAGTGCCTCTGTTTTGGAATTCCCTTCCTCCAGACCAATGAAAGATACATTTCTATTGTTTGCAAGCTGCCCAGTTTATGATATTTTTGTTACAACAGCCTGAACAGTCTAAAATAACAATAGGCTAAACTACTGCTTTATATTTCTTTGCATTTGTCAGATTAATAATTGTATAATATTTTCTTTTATCAATAGTCTTCCTCATATTACTACAAGCAGTAAAAAAAAGACTGAATTCTCAAACGTGTTCAACAAAAACTATGACAGAAAGGCCAAAGTCTCCAGGACTTTGTTGTACTTTCTTGATAGTTGATATATCACATTGGACAAAAAAATGTAAGAAAGCTGAAGGTTTCCAAAAGAATAAAAAATGGATCCTAGAAATAAGTCTTCACATACGTGGTCTAATAATTTTCAAGAATGCCTAGACCATTCATTCAGGAAAGTTCAGTCATTTCAATGTGTCATATTGAGAGATCTGGGTATTTGCATGCAAGTGAATGAGGTATGGCCCTTATTGATACCACATACAAAAATTAACTCAAAATGAATCAACAATCTAAATGCAAGAACTAATATTATAAATCGTTAAAACAGAAGACAATAGGAAATTGTAATAACATGGAATTTGGCAATGATTTCCTTGATATGACTCCAAAAGCACCATCAGTAAACGAAAAAACATAAATTAGGAACTATCGTGATTAAAAACTGTTGTGCATCAAAGGCTACTAACAAAAGTGAAAAAATAATCCATTGAATGGAAGAAAATAGTTAAAATATGTATCTAATGAGGGATTAATATTAAGAATATATAAAGAACTCTTACAGGGCAACAAGTAATAGCAAGACAAATAATTCCTTTTACAAATGGGCAAAGTACTTGAATACTTTAATTCATCTTCTAGGAAATATAAAGATGTGGAGAAGGCTAGTAAGCACATAAAAAGGTGTGTTTTTCACATGTTAACATTACTAATCTTTGGGGAAATGCAAGTAAAAACCACAATGAAATATCAATTTGTACCTATTAGGATGGCTATTAAAAATAAAAATTCAAAGCATATCAAGTGTTGACCAGGATATGAAAAAATTGGAACTCTTTGCATTGCTAGTGAAAACGTAAAATAATGCAGCCTTTGTGGAAAACAGCATGCTGGTTGCTAAAAAAATTGAACACAAAATTAGCATATTATCCAGGAATTCCACATCTACGTATATGCCTGAAAATATTAAAAGCAGAGTCTCAAGCAGATATTTGTATACCCATGCTTATAGCAACATTATTCACAATGGTCAAAACATGGAAAATCAAAATGTTTATTGACAAATAAATGGATAACCGTAATATGATATAGGCATACAATGGAAGATTATTCATCCTTAAAATGAATAACTCTGTCACACTCTATAATGTAGATATAAACTGAAGACCTTATGATAAGTGAAATAAGCCAGTCAGAACATGACAAATATTATCTAATTCTGCTTCTGTGAGTCAAACTCAGAGTCTAAGTAGAATGGTGGTTGCCAGCAGCTGAGTTCTGCTTCCATTAGTACCTAGGTTAGTCAGATTCATGGAGTCAAAGTAGAATCGTGATTCTTCTGGGGAAAGGGAAAAATGGTAGGTTAATATTGAATGGATAAAAAGTTTCAGCTTTGTAGAATGAGAAAGTTCTGAAGTAGAGTGATGGTGATGGTTGCACAACAACATTAAATGTACTCAATGCAGTTCACAAAACAATATGATACACTAAAATAGATTATATCATATAAGTAAATATTAAGTATACATGAAGGGATTATAAATAAATTTATGTCAACAATATTATATATTGTCAATGACTGTATATTGTCAATTATATGTATAAGTGTATTCAGTTGACATACAAAATGTATAATGTACTTTGGGGCCCAGTGAGAGAATACTGAATAACACTTTTAAATTCAAATATATTCATTCTTTAACTGTGTTATTTGAGTTATAAATGTTTATAATTCAAATTCTGTATAATTTGAGTACAATTTTTCAAATAGTTAAAAAGGTACTCTCATATTTTCAGGAAAAGATGAACCCTTGTTTCCAAAACGACGTGCTGCTCCTAAAAACAATGGTCTTTTGATCAGTTTCTACATTTTTTTACCTTTGCTCATTTTAATTGCTATTGTTAGTCTTAAATGGAACAAAATGAAGAGATTTTGGAGCAAAGCGGGAACAGTAAGCAGCAGGTAAGTAAATGTCTGATTTTTAATTTAATTTAAAATTCATTATGGGAAGAATTCAATGCAATTCAGAATCCAAGTAGGGATTCTAGGATGGATTGGATTAACGTTTAGAAACACTGAGTAAGTTCTCAGCATATAGCAAAGTTTTTTATTTGTTTCCTTTTTGTTTTTTTTCAAATATCAGTCAGCTAAGTATCCCACATGTTCTTACAGGGCTAAAAACAATTAAAACTATTCAGTAAAGCCTCATTGCCTTTCACATAGGAAACCAAGTTCTCAACAATTGTTTACGAAGTTCTGTTGACTTCCCAGGGAACCCCATTTCTCTTACATTGGCAACCAGTTGTGCCCTAAAAGGTCCACAGAAATAGTCAGGGAAGAAAATTTGTGAATAGAATATGTAGAAAGTAAGAAAATAGGAGATTGTACGGAATGAGGAAGAGAAGTCAGATAGAATACTCTGTATTTTGTGCAAAGTTAATATGGCTCATATTTTTGTGAAATAAGTAAGGTACCTGCACAGCTTTTCTTTTTTTTCTTTTACTGTAACACCACAGCAAACCATAAATTGCTTCATGAATATTTAGGGATTTGAGAATTCAAAAGGAAGAATAAACAAGTGGGATCATTTGTTTAAAATGACAAAATCTGGTCACCACAGGCTGTTTTACAACAGTAAGTGGTTTCAGGGCTGCAAGGGTAAGAAATGAAATAGAGCTGAAGCAAAAAAGGGGATGAAACGCTGGTCAGGAACGAGGTCGTTCTCTTTATGACTCAAAGGCTTTAAAACTGATGTCACCCCTTCTTGCCTATGTCCACTGTTTCCAAATTGACTGCTCTGCCTGCACTTGGCCACTTGAAACATATTGATTGGTTAATTAATGCAAATCTAGCTTTTTAAGCTTTTCTTGATTTCACTCAAGATTACAGTTTTTTCTAATGTTATCTCTTTCATACAGATCTATCTCAGAAGACAGCAGTAGTACAAACAGCCAGTCACAGAGTTAAAGGTGACCTGAAATATTCAAATTGTTAAGAAAATGATAATTCATGGAATATTGTTTTACTTTTAACAATACCTCAGTATAAGAAAACTATTATTCCCATATTTCATCATCTTGACTCCTATTTATTAATACCATACAGTAAAACAAAGATAAGAAGAATATTTGATGTTATGTTTTATACTGATATAGAAATATTTAATGTTAACTGATATTAGAGATTAATTGAACATTTTGTAAACAAAATGATGTTAAAGGGATTATATTTTGTAAATAGTCATAAACAATCACACCTCCTTTGGCCTTATTTAAGGTTCTCATTGGGTGATTTACACAGATTCTCTCTCTACATTTACAGTGATTGATCTTCACTAAGTTGCCATAGGTATTGTTATCCATATTTTAGAGATGAGGAAACGGGTAAAAGGAAATAAATTGATTTACCAGGAAAAAATAGTTTTAGTGAGTATTTTGGTGGAGTTTAACTTAAGGCAATCTGACTTTAGAGTTCAAGCTCTTAAGATTGCCATAATCTTGAACAAATATAGCCTGATATATGACTGCGGACTGGGAATGGAATTTACATTAATTGAGATGCCAGGCAACATGTTAAGTACACCTTCCCTCAAAAGCAGAAAGATACATTCTTTTTATCTTTAAGATGGGATAAAATAGGCATTCATATGTTTTGTTCAAAGTTCTAATTCATATGTGTAAAGAAATGATGGCATTTGATGTGTTAGGCCTATCACTGACAGTAAACAGAAAATTCAAAAATTCAACCAAGAGTGAGATCAGGAAGCTAATTACTTAGCTCCCATTCCTTCATACCTGACTTTGTTGATAGTTAAGTCAATAGTATCTGTTTTCTTATCTTCCACTAATCATTGGGAATTAGAGAGCCACCAGGGCCCAAGCTTTCTTATTTTAAATTGTAAATGGCTTATCATAAACACTACTTCCCTTATCCTAGCAAAAAGTCAAAACCAGACATCCAAGCTTTCCCAGAGATGAAGACAGAGCTTTTCCATTCCAGCTACAAATCAAATCTATTCCACACAGGCATAGACCTGGCATTACCCATGCAAATATCTTCGCAGCAGCTTTCAAAACATATAGACGATATGATGCTAACACAACTCAGGAATGTTGGAAAAATATCAGGAATGTCATTCTATCTGGGGCAGAGTTACCAAGAGGGTTTCTGTTGCGATGAGGTCAGAGAAGTAACACCCATGGAGAGTCTTGGCACTCTTGGAGGCCATCTGTCTTTTACTTTGAGTGAAAAGGAGGAATCACCAGATGGTGCAGATTCTAAGCACGTGACTTACACTTTAAAAAGCTGCTTTGTTGAAAACAGTCTATATGTTGGAAAGAGTAGATGTGGAGAAACTATTGCAGTAACCCAGGAGAGAAAAGATGGTGCTTCAGACCAAGAGTGGGAAGGGTGGTCTTATGGATACGTTTTGAAGATAACCCAATAGTGTACTGACAGTTTGGATGCAGAATGTAAGAAAAAGCAGTTGCATAATATGGGTATTGATACACATCAGGAAAATAGCAGAGCTAAAAAGTAAAACCAGCCCTCTTTCTTTACAAAATTTTGGCCTTTTTTTTGAAGTAGAGTTCTTGCTCTGTCACCTAGGCAGGAGTGCAAAGGCGTGATCTTGGCTCACTGCAACCTCTACCCCCTGGATTCAAGCAATTCTCCTGCCTCAGCCTCCCAAGTAGCTGAGACTACATGGAGGCACATGCCACCATGCCCAGCTAATTTTTGTATTTTTAGGAGAGACGGGGTTTCACCAAGTTGGCCAGGATGGTCTCGAACTCCTGAACTCATGATCCACCCACTTTGGCCTCCTAAAGTTCTGGGAAATTGCAAGTTTATGAATTCTGAGACGTAAAATCCATATAGGTAACCATGAGCCAAAACAAGTGTCATGTATGCCACAATGAGAAGTGTACATGTTCTTCTATATGAATAAGAACATAGGTAAAGTACTTTTTAAGATGGTAAGAAAGGGATTTGGTACTATTTGTCTTTCAGTTTACAAATTTCACTGGGATAAAATAGGAAAAATAGATTCAGTCATGACTGGAAAGTAGTGAAGCAGTTAAGAGACTGCTGAATGCATAGGCAAGATGTGCTGAGGGCAGGATTGGAGAGGAGGAAAGCACAAAAACGTTTTCAGAGATACGACAGAGGCCCGATCTGTTAGTAGTGACTGGATGGACGTTTCGGGTTAGAATAAAAGGGAGAACTAAGAACACTCCGCTCTTCTGACAGAATGGTTAGTGACACCTTTTTCTGGTGACGTGCTGTATAGTAGAGAAATAACTGGTTTGGTTTGGGTGAAGAAGTGGAGGGGAGTGAAGAGTTAGTTTGTCTTTGAACAAGTGTATGTAAGAACCCACTGGAAATGCACAGAAGGTTTTAGAACTTCTTTTCATCCTCAAATACTTAGAGAAAACTTAATAGTAATTCTTTCCTATTTTTTCATGTATTTATGTTGCTGTTTTCTTCTGTTTCTTTTTTGTGGTTACTTCTATTTCTTTGTTGATGATTTTCTTTTATCCATGTAAAGTTTAGAGACTGTAAATTAAAAATATAAATATCAATTTAATATTCCCTTCTAATGTAGCTATTACAATTAATTTATGAAAAATAAATTTAGATTTATAAATTTTCTGATTTACAGACAGACTGCACCAGTATAATCTGTTTCTTATTTTACTAATTAAGTGTTCTACCAATAGTTGAATAGTAAATAATAGCTTTTATTAACAATGAAGATTTAACATTTCTATTTTTCTATATTTCCTCTGCAACAGTAACCAAGTGATAAAATAAAAGCCATAAAATGAAGAAAGGATATTACCAAGAAACTCACCATTAACTGGTCCGATCTAAAAATGAAAACAAATTTTACTCTCATTTGTTATGGCTTAAAGATTTCAATTTCACAAAGCAAAATAAATCCTATGACTGAAAGCATAGACGCTTGTGTCTATTGATCCTTCTACCCACCATGATCCTTAGTAGGAAATAAGCGGCTTTGTTTCCTTTTAACTTTGGAGGTTGTTACATCATAAGCTTATAGCTTTCTGAAACAAAAGAGTTCACTGATCTCCCTCACAAGACATGCAGCAGGGGAGTGGCTCACCTGTTCCGTCACTCCCTGCTCAAACCCCTCATCTGCTGGTCTGCTTCTCTTGCCACATCTGTAGTAGTTAACAAGTTCACCCTGGGAATTCTGGGGCTTGTCTGGTGGCCATTAAAGCCCTTGTCTCTTTCCTGTACTTCCTCTCTCTTTCCTGGGTCTCCCTGTCCTTATTATAAAAGATGGAAGTGGCTACTTTCAGGAGGTTCTCTAAAGTACTATCTGGCCTCAGGGCCTGTTTTTTGCAGCTTACTCCTCATATCAGGGGCTGCCTAAGTAATAAATTTATCCCTTAGGATTAGTTGTCCCTCAACTGAATCAGGAAATAGAGAGGTGCTTTACCAAGTTATCTCTGAGCCTTTCCAAGAAGGCAGAGGGATTTTCATCAACTCCTTGGTCAATCATGGATAAGTTAGTATAATTGAGAGGCTTGGTCCTGGTCCTATGTAAGCCCTCCATTATGCACACCTGTAAGTGTCTCCTCTTCCATTCTCCCATCTCACCATTGGGATCCCATCCAGGGTCCTCCATTGGTACTGTCTCTCTTCCAGTTGGATAATGTTCACCCTCTTCCCTGATGCTATATGTCATGCAAAGCTCATCCCCAAATCTCTCTGCTACTTTCAGAGCAGCCTGTGTCTCGGTGTCTATCAGAGTCTGATTCAAAAGTAACATAATGTCTCTCCAGGTGAGTTAAAATACTTGGATGAAATTCTGTAAAGCCTCTGTATACTGGAAAAGGCCATCTGAAAACTTGCCAAGATCCCCCTTAATTTACTTTAAGCCTTGTAGAGAGAAGGGGATCTGGACATTACTGGGTCCAAATTCACCAGGCCTCTATTGGAGAGCAAAGGTGAGATTGGGGCTTGTCTCAGGTGAGGATTTCCAGGAGAGAGTGAGAGGCTGAAGCTGGATAGGGAGATTGAGGTGGACCCAGAGGAGCAGGGCTGATGGGAGCTGGCTCCTTTGCTGCGGGTGCCTCTAGGATTTGTATCTTTACTTCCCTCAGCTCACCCCTTGCAGCCTTTCTTGAGACAGAAAACAGGAGGGCTGGATCAATCCTACACTGTTGGCAAAGGTCTGGATTGCCCTTCAAGGTATAGAAAGCCTGCCCATATGGGGCCTCAGGCCATCTGTCCTCCCATCTACAGAAAAGGTCCAACTGCCAGATGGTATCGAAATGAATGGTATTCTAGTCCATAATTAGGCCACAAATTTATGCAGAGGGTTATGAGGCATTTTTCCTCCATATTCTGAGTGTCAAAGCAGTTCCAGTGGTTCAGGATACACTCTAAAGGAGTACAAGCTGGGGTGGTAAAGAGAGCTGGTTGCCCATTCTGAAAGGGAATAGAGACATCCCTCAATTCTCTTCTTTCAGAGAAAACTCAGGGTGTGTGTGAGAGAGAAAGCGAGCATCCTCCCTTTCTCTTCCTTTTTTGTCCCCAAATCCTTGCAATATTGGCAGATGCCACCTGCCAATGCACCCATGAAGCAGAGAAGGCCTAGAGAATAGGAATTATCCACGCTCACCTATGCCTCCATCTTTCCAACTGTTGACAACCTTTGATCCCCTGAGGCCTCATTTATGCCATGGAGCATGGCCTCCTTTCTTGAGATGGGGTGTTTAGTTGGCAGAAATTATTTCTGCCCATTTACATTGTGCCTTTTGCCTACCTTTGGATATCTCAAATCAAGTTTTCCTTTCTAGGACTTCAGCCTGATGCTTGGAATCGAGTTTGAGACAAACAAGTTATTTCAAGGGCTGCTTGTATCTATTTAGATGGTCTCAAATGAGCCCTGCTGAATTTTCAGTTATCAGCCAGCAGGTCACTCTTCCATTATTTTCTCTATCATAAGCAGAGTGCTGTGGGTAGGAACCCTCTCTTAGAAAATGTGAAAAAGAAAAAGCTTCAGAGGCAAAAGGGGAAGGTCCTGGGGGAAGAACCCCTTGTTTGTGCAAATGGGTCCCTTTAATCTTTGTATCCTTCCCTTGATTCAGACCTGGCTAAATTCCTTGGCTGGGGAGGAAAAGTACCATTGCACAATGGGCAGGAAGCACCAGCCAGCTGGCTCTGCTGGATCCCGGTGGCAGCCATAGTCTTTTCCTGCCCCTTGGGGCCACTGGTCACGGCTTGTGCATGCTGTAGACACCTCCAGGTGCCTGAGCCAGGACAGGAGGGGGTAAGGATGGGACATGTGGTGGGCCACACGTGTCTGTGGCTGTCGAGCTGGGGATGACACATTTAAGAACAAAATGGAAATGACTTGTTCTGATTTGCATCTTTGATGGCTGAGCCAAATGCTCATTCTATTTAATATTATTACTTCAGCCTATAGTAAAGCCTTTGACATTATAAAGGAAGAGAGAAGAAACAACACTAAATGAAGTCTGGGGTCTTGGCCTACAGAGTTCAGTCCTGGGGCCTTCCAGAAAAAAAAATATGCCTTTTGTTGCCCCATGGCTTTACTCCAGTCCCATGTGGTGGCTAAACCTCCCTGAAGAGAAACAGAGCAGGAAAGAGAGAGGTGGCAGGGTCTTGGAAAAGAGGTAGATCTGACAGTTTCGCTTTTTAACTCACCTTTCTTCACGTCCTGGACAAGACTCCAACTGAAACAGGAGAGTTCCTGGATCTCCTCGCAGGATGTGTGACAGGGGTGTGGCTTGCTTGTTCAGTCACCACCACTGCTCAAGCCCCTGATAGGAGGGGGAGCACACAGACAGGCAGGTGCAGGAGCCAGGACAGCACTTTGGTCTCCAGACTCATGATAGTGTCTAGTGGTGCGTGCTTGCACCCAGTGTTACAAAGTTCTTTCCACTTTGCCATCACAGATGGATTATGTTAACCAGCTCAATGGACCCTCTGCCTTTTTGCAAGGGCAGAGGGCCAATGTGACAGCTTTCTGTATCCCAGATCTCACCCAGAAGAATTTGGTCACACACAGGCTTGAAGGATGTGTAATAAAGAGGAAGGAAACACAAAAAGTGTCTCAACAGTCAAAGACAGGTTTATTTTAGAGAATAAACCTGAGAGGGTCTTCTGAGTGATTTTTTTTTTTTTTTTTTTTTTTTTTTTTTTTTTAGTCAGGAGGATTCTCTCTTACAGACTAAGAGTATTTATTGTTTTCTTAGGGCGAGAGAGCTTTTCACAAGCATGGAATGTTTCTGTGTAGGGGAGAAGTTTACAGCAGGGCTGGAATGTCTCTGTTCAGAAGGGAGGTTATCTTGGGGCTGACATCTCTCCAGCCACAGGGAAGGTTATCTCGAGGCTGATATGTCTCTGGTCAGAAAGGATTTGGAATTTTTCTGGTCGGAAATGTTATCTGTGATTTATGGTCATGCTGACCTTAGCCATTAGGTTGATGCCCTTCGGATTTAGGCAGTTTTTGATGTAGGTGAACTTTAAAATAAAAATGCTTTTCCAAGATTGCAATGCTCCTCTTGCTCTGTCAGGATGAATGCAAGATTTTATTGAGTGACGGAGGTAGCTCTCAGTGGGATGGATGAGGAGCTGAAAGAGGGGGATAAAGTGGGAAGATAACCTTCCCCTGGAGCTGAGCTGTCAAGCAGCCAACTTCCCCCACCTGAACTTCACTCAGCATTCAGACGTTCCTCCTGTTCTTTTTTTCTCTGCTGTGTCATTCTGCTGTCCATCTGCTTGTTTTGTTTCATCTGCTTATCTGCCTCTGGATGCTAGGGTTTAAGGTTTATGTGTATACAGGATAGGGGTCATGGTGGACCAAAAGGCAACTTTTAGGGCATGAAAACAGGAATGTCTGTTCTCATTTAGGGCCATTGTATCCAGGCTTGAGGGTGATCCTTTTCTGGGGAACTGCCCTCTTTCACCCTGTGTTTCCCTTTCTCTTGTCCATATCACTTCCATTGTGCACTGGTCCTGCCCACCCACTCTCAGACGCCCATGACCTTACTGACTACCCTTGTCCCAAGAGAGGACACCTGCAGCCCACCCCTCTCTAATAGCTAATTATCCCTTTGTCTTATTCATTCCAGGTTTTGGAATATTGGAAGTATTGCTGAGTAAGGTCAGCTCCACAGTCACATTAGTCATTAGCCTAAATCCTACCTTAAATGAATTGCTCAAACTGAGCTCTGGGTCATAGACACCTATACCTATTATGCTTCCTTGGCCCTGTATAAACTGCTCTAGAATATTTCTCTGTCCTTTGGGAAAACCCAGAGTTGCCACTCTGTCTTCCCTTAAGCTGGGATTTTCTGGGTAAGATTTTCTTGCCTGAGTCTCCCCTCCCCTCCCCTACTTGCTGAGATGGGTGCACTTTTACAGGGCATTACACAGAGCATTACACATGGATTGGGGATCCACCTGCCCACCTGGAGTCCAATTAGGACCTACAGAGTCTCCATTACAAACCCAGGTTCTCCTGGGACAGGAGTAGAGGAACCTTACCACAGAGGTCCAGAGTTTCCTATTGCCAATGTTAGTCAGCTGAAGAATGGATAAACAAAATGTGGTATATCCAAACAATGAACTATCATTCAGCCATGAAAAGGAACAAAGCATTGACACTGGTACTGAACATGGTTGATCCTTGAAACCATTATATTAAGTAAATAAAGCCAGTCACAAACACCAGATATTTACATGTGTATTCATTTCTATGATTTGTCCAGAGCAGGAACCACTCTTGAGATACAAATTAGTTTAATGGTTGTTTAGGGA